TGTGCGTATACGTGAGCGTGTGCGTGTGCGTGCGTGCGTGTGCGTGTGCAGGTGCGCGTGCGTGTGCGCGTACGTGTGCGTGTGCATGTGAGTGTGCATGTGCGTGTGCGTTTGCGTGTGCGTGTGTGTGTGTGTGCGTGTGCGTCTGCGCGTGCGCGCGCGTGTGCGGGTGTGCGTGCGTGCGTGAGCGAGTGCGTGTGCGTGTGCGTGTGCGTGTGAGTGTGTGTGAGTGCGTGTGCGTGCGCGTGTGCAGGTGAGCGTGCGCGTGCGTGTGCATGTGTCTGTATTTGCGCAACTGTGTGTGTGCGAGTGTGTGTTTGTGTGTGTGCGCGTGTGAGTGTGTGCGTGTATGTTTTTGTCTGTGGTTATGATGTGTTGTGGTTCTGTACGTGTCTTGTGTGCGTGTCGGTGTAAGTGTGCGTTGTGTGTGTGTGTCGGTGTGCGTGTGCGTGTGCGTGTGCGTGTGCGTGAGCGTGTGCGTGTGCGTGTGCGTGTGCGTGTACGTGCGCGTGTGCGTTTGCGTGTGGGTGGTGTGCGTGTGCGTGTGCATGTACGTGTGCGTGTGCGTGTGCGCGTGCGTGTGCATGTGCGTGTGCGTGTGCGTGTGCGTGTGCGTGTGCTGTGCGTGTGCGTGTGCGTGTGCGTGTGCGTGTGCGTGTGTGTGTGTGTGCGCGTGTGTGTGTGTGTGAGTGTGCGTGTGCGTGTGTGCGTGTGCATGTGAGTGTACGCGTGTGCGTGTGCGTCGTGTGCGTGTGCGTGTGAGTGCGTGAGCGTGTGCGTGTGCGCGTGCGTGAGCGTTGGCGTGAGCGCATACGTGTAAGCGCATGCGTGTGCGTGTGCGTGTGCGTCTGCATGTTCGTGTGCGTGCGCATGTGCATGTGCGTGTGCGTGTGCGTGTGCGCGTGCGCGTACGTGTGCGCGTGCGTGTGTGTGCGTGTGCGTGTGCGTGTGCGTATGCTTGTGCGTGGACGTGTGCGTGCGCGTATGCGTTTGCGTGTGCGTGTGCGTGTGCGTGTGCGTGTGCGTGCGTGTGCGCGTTCGTGTGCGTGTGCGTGTGCGCGTGCGTGTGCGTGTGCGTGTGCATGTACGTGTGCGTGTGCGTGTGCGTGTGCGTGTGCGTCTGCGTGTGCGTGTGTGTGTGTGTGTGTTTGCGCGTGCGCGTGCGTGTGCGTGTGTGTGTACGTGTGTGTGTGGTGTGTGTGGTGCGTGTGTGTGTGTGTGTGAGTGCGTGCGTGCGTGCGTACGTGCGCGCGTACGCGTGTTCGTGCGCGCGTTCTCGCGTGCGCGCGTGCGTGCGTGCGTGCCTGCGGGCGATCGGGCGGGTGGGCGTGCGCGCGTGCGCGCTTGCGTGGGTTCGTACTCGTAGGAGCGAGCGTGGGTGCGTGCGTGCGTGCGTGCGCGCGCGTGTGCGTGCGCGTGTGTTCGTGCATGCGTGCATGCGTGACTGCGTGCGTGCGCGCGTGCGTGCGTGTGTGGGCGTGCGTGCGTGAGTACGTGTGTATGTGTGTAGGTATGTGCGTGCGTGTGTGCGTGCGTGCGTGCGTGCGTGTGTATGTGTCTGTGGCTGTGGCTGTGGCTATGGCTGTGTCTGTGGCTGTGGCTGTGGCTATGGCTGTGGCTGTGTCTGTGTCTGTGTCTGTGTCTGTGTCTGTGTCTGTGTCTGTGTCCGTGTCTGCGTGGTGTTTGTCTCCCACCACCGCGGCCATTCCCTCCCCGCACCGCGTGCAGGTGGATCAACGCCTGCGCGCCAGGCGGGTTCCTCCTTGCCAGCCCGCACCTTCCTCAGGGGGGCGCCCTGGGGGAGGAAGGGGGGGCACCTCCTGGCCAGGTTGGGTGGGCTGCTCTGTGGATGGGGGCCGGGGCTGCCACTCGTCGTCGGCGGGGATTGGAATACCACGCCCGTCCCTCGGAGAGTCGGGCTGGGCGGAGAGCCCGGGCGGCGTTCTTGCCACCCCAGCAAGACATGGAGGACGACCGACTTGGTTGCGACGAATGCAGGGCTGGCTCAGGGTGTCACCGGCTGCGAGGAGAATGATGAAACTTCTATCGTCACCCACTCGCTTGTGCGAGTTACGCTCGAAGGCACGCCGCTCGCGCCGCCGATCCACATCTTAAAGCAGCCCAAGCCTTTCTCATGAGGAGGTTGTCGTGGGGCCACAGCTGGAGGCGCCATCCTGGGAGGACTTGCCCGGGGCCGCCAGGCCTCGCGGGGACCAGGATAATCTGAATACGTGCCTCCAGCTTTTTCTGGAGCGTCCGGAGTGGGAGCTTGCCGTCCACCACGAGATCCAGGGGAAGAAGCACTTCGGGAGAAGGAAGCCGCCTCTGAAGGGGCCCTGGGACACACAAATAAATACACACAAGTAACCGGATACCCCATACTTTCCCATATGTTCTGGGTGTCTGTCCTCCCCCCCACTTCCCATATGTTCCCATATCTTCCTGGGAGTCGCCGATTCATTGTCTCTGTGTTTTTTCCCCTCCTGAACTTCGGGAGAAGGAAGCCGCCTCGGAGGGCCAAGGTCTCTGCGCGCATGGCCCCTGGAGGGCGCGCTCCCTGCAGGCTCCCCCGGGGGCACGAGGCTGGCGGCAGGCGCCCAAGCGGCTTCAGGAGCTCCACCATCCTCGGAAGGCTACCAGAGAGCGGCAAGGCCCTGGCACCACGGGCATCGCTGCCAAGCTCGCTCGGGAGGCCCGCGTCGACTCGAGGGCTCGGAAGAGAGGGGGAGTTGGACGCCAGATGCTGCCGACATCCTCGCAGCCCCCGCGTCTGCGCGTGCACTGCACGCCCGCAGGGGGAGAGCTCCGCCGGCATCGCCGAGCGCTCGGGGCGCACCTCCGCGGCCGACCGCCAGAGGCGCTGAGGAGGGGCGCGGGCGCTGGAGGCCGTCGCACGCGGAGGAGGGCCAGCACGCAGATGTGCCGGGCCGGCAGGCGGGTGGGCCCCAGACAGGCACGGCCCCGAGAAGAAAGCCATCCCCACCGGCCCTTGGGCCAGCAGCAGCCTCTGGATCACCGCCGGAGCAGCTGCGCAGCGAGCGGCTGAGAGGTTGGAGGAGCCGCCTCGGAGCACCCCAGACCAACCCGACCCGCTCGAGCACCTCACAGCTCAGACTGGGGAGCTGGCAGGAGAGGCGAGGATGTTCCGTCGCAGACCTGCGCCCAGCAGCTTGGCAGCCAGCGGAGACCCGCAGGAGCGCCAGGGAGGTCGAGGCTCGGACGGCAGCGGGGCGCGACGCCCTGCGGCCGCGGGGCCTTGCGCGAGCATCCTGGTGAAAGCCTTCCTCCCTCGCAGCATCTGGCTCTTCGTTGGCCTCATCGGGGGGCGGCCTGTGGCGACACTGCGGTGGGTCCGCGGAAAAGCGTGTAGCATCCGACACTGCAAGGACCGCCGTCGTGCCTTGCACTGCACGCGCTGCTGCAAGGCGGCATGGTTGGATCGAGGGTGCTCGACACCAGAGACTCACATGGCTTCCCAGGCAGCGTTGCGACAAGCAGGCGCTACGCACATTCGCGAGGCCGCGTGGAGCCGAAAGCTGAAGGCATGCGGCATGTGTATGTTTTGTGCAGTCTCCAACTCACATGTGGACGTCAAGGCTTTCAGGCGGGTGCGGAAAATGATGGGGAAGAGGGTCGCACAGCTACACAGCGTGCAAGCCAGTATATTCCTAAAACGTTTCCCCGCGTTGGGCGCGCAGGGTCTCACAGGGACACGTTGAGCCAGATTGCATCACCGCCGCATCTTCAATGTAGATCGCTCGCGCGCTGCTGCCATCTGCGGCTCAAGCGGACCGAAGAGCCCACCAGCGAAACCGGTCTCAGCTCCTGACTGTCTTCGGACCCTGAGATGACGACGACAAGACAGGCGGGGGGGAGGGATCTGCCGAGGAGGCCACAGTGCCGCGTACGAGGGAGCAGGGAGCGGGGCGCAGGGAGGGCGGAGGGAGGGAGGGAGCAAGGGGAGGAGGGCAGGAGGGCAGGAAGGCAGGAAGCGGGAAGGGAGGATGGCCTCCGTGCCCGCCTCGGACGCTTCGCCCCCCACCCCTTTTCCCACTCCTGGGGGCGGGGGCCAGGGGCCAGGGGCCAGGGGGCAGCACCCGCGCTCCGCCCGCGACGCCCCCTCCCCCCCCCCCCTTCCTCCACCCGTCGCCCCCCTCCCGCGATGTCCGGCGAGGTGCCGTGGTCGCACATGCGGCGCCACAGCTCCAGCGCCTCGTCGGGGGGGCAGGAGGACGACACGACACCGGTACACCTGCACCGATCCTGGCCAGGCTTCGTCCTGGGCTCAGGATCGGCACGGCCAGGATGTGCGCAGGTGTGGAATCGGTGGCCTTTGAGGGGGGGCACCAGCAGCCTCGCAACAGCGGGCTGTGCCACTAGATCGCAGGCGGGCTGACCTGGATCAGGCGCTAACCTGGATCAGCCGGGGCCATCTCGCGAGACTGGACCCGTACCTCCCAAACCCGGATCAGCGGAGGGAGGAAAGGAGGGGCGGCTCTACATGGCTCCCAAGCCCAGGGTTTGGCTGACCCCCATTAAGGCTCACCGCTGTTACCTGCGCCCCGACTCCACCTCGCGGAGCTGGCGCCGGCGACACGGAAGATGGGACCGAAATATCGTGTCGGCGGCGTCGGCTCTGGCGAAGTGGAGTGGCGCGGTCAGTCACTGCGACACTTTCTTTTCCCAGTTTCTCCCGGCCTCTGCTGACAAGAGAAAGGTTCGCGGCGTGGTCGCCGAAAGCTCCGAGAGCGAACCTGCAGAGCAAAGGCTATCAGACATCACAGATTTCAGCCGGAGCTGCGCCCTTCCCTCCGCGCGCCGCGAGACCTCGCCCCCGGGGGGGCCGACACACACGTAGTATAGCAGTATGTGCTGGGCGGCGCCGGAGTGACACCAACGGTCGATTGGAATGTCCGAAGTGGTGCTCCCACAAGCCATTGCTTCGCTTGCGGGCGGTACGAACAGCGGAACGCAGCACCTGAAGCTGAGACAGCGGGCCGATGAGCCAGACCGTGAGGCGAAGGGCTCCTCTGAAGAAACGCAAATGCCGCGCGCCCTCCACGCGCTCTCGCTCCGTGCACTCCGCTTGGTTCTGGCCGTCGGAGGCCAAGGAACCACCAGAGAGAGCGATAAGTATACACAATGTTCCCAGGATCGGGAAGGAGGGGAAGGAGGAGGAAAGAAGGGCGAGAGCAGAGAGACAAGGGGGGGCACGCATGAGGGCGAAGACCGACTTGGGCGAGCTGGCCCGAGGGCGCTTCACGGCGCACCCACAGCTGAAGCCGAAGCCAAAGCTGAAGTGCCCAGAAAGATGGAAAGGGCCCACCCTGCAGGTTGTTTGACGGCACATCGCTGAGCGGTGCTGCAGCCTCCACTGAGCACAGGCCGCCCCCCCCCCAAGAGCATCAGCCAGACAAGTCGAGTTTGCACCCTCATGCCCTGCTGGACTGCACAGAGCACTGCATCGCCCACTCGCTACGGATTGGCGCATCGAGAGTGCGCACAGCTGACACTAAAATACGCTGCTAGGCCGTTGGGGAACCAAGGAGGATAGACACTAGTAGAGTGACAGGGGAGAGTCCAGGAGGAAAGCAGAAGGCGAGTGCAGCTTGGCGTGCGGCAGCTTGGAGCGCCTTGTAGACTCACCCTACGATATCAAGCTCTTGGACGTTCTGTCTGGACAGCCGCCCCCGCGTACGAGGACTGACAACTCACACATATCTGCACAGTGAGTTTGTTCCAACTAGAGACGCTCGAAGCTGCGAGTATACTGGGGATGTTGAGGAAGAGGAGGCAGAGGAGGAGGAGGAGGAGGAGGATGAAGAGGAGGAGGAGGAGGGGGAGGAGGAGGCGGAGGAGGAGGCGGAGGAGGAGGAAGAGGTGGGCCACAGCGGGCAAACAAAAAAAGAAACGGTGGGTGCGCACGGCCGCACGGAGAAATCAATTCGAAGGGGGCCGTGGGCCAGACTTCCGGCCGGGAGTGGATCGCGCTCCGCTCGAGAGCGAGTTGCTCTCTCACTCCAGCCTCAAAAACAACTCGCCCGCTCTCGTGAGCGCTGTCCAGCCTGCAAACAGCTCGCAGCAAGGGTGCCGAATACTCCCATTGACTCAGACCTCCGAGTTAGCCTTCCCCCACAGCGCAAGCCCCTGTCGACCCCATCTACATGACGGGCGTTTCCCCAGAATCGGTGTTGACTGTCCTGGGGGCCGAAAACATGAACTCCACGCCGAACTTCAAAACACCAAACACAGCTCTGTCATCGTTTGTATTTTATCCCGACGCCTCGAGGTCTGGGAAGTCGGCCTTGAACCAGCTTGAAAAGAATGGTCAGTCCTCTCACCTCAGGAGCAAAACCTCCAGAAGTCCTACTATGATGTGAAACAGCCTTGTGCGATGCTGCCCTCGCAGCCCAGAGTCTGGGCCCAGCATGGCTGGACATCCTCCACCTCCACCTCCACTTCCGCCTCCTGGTTTCGCCTGTGGGTCTCAGACGGCAAAAGCCGGTCCCACGGCAGCGACTGCACAGATTGCAACCGTGCCCCTCCAGTACCCATTGATTTGTTTGTTTCTCTCTCTCTCTCTCGATCTCTGTCTCTTCCTCTTCTCGATATCAACATACAGAGAAAGATAATATAATGCCATATATGGCGCCATATCTAGCTATACCTATATATATATATACATATGTATATCGCTCGTACCTGCTATACATATATGTATATGTATGTATATATATATATATATATATATGTGTGTCTCTCTCTCTCTCGCGGTTTCTCTCTCTCTGCCTAATCAACTCTCTCTCTCTCCTCGTCAGTCGTCCCCCTCCCGATTCCCCCCGTAGCTCTGTCGCACAAGCAGGGCGTATCATATCGATCCGCCTTGGGCTCCGTGTCCTGCACAGCGTAGAAGTCATCCATATGCCGCGGAGTGTTCACACACTCCGATCATGTGTTGCGACGGGTGTGTTATTGAGTTGGATAATGATTCGTGGCAATGTGACCACATTGTAGCCCACTGCCAACTTCATAGAGTGCAGTGCTTAACTACAAGCCCCTCGCGTTCACCCTCAAAGGCCCCCAGTCGCTGTCGCTGTCGTCTTTCTCGCTGTCAGTTGGCCAACTATCTTCGTCAGAGTCCTGTGCCGTCTCTGAGGTAGCGCGAAGCTTTGCCCGAAACTGCTGTTTCAGGCGATCAGCCTTGCTCACAGCCTGCAGCTCCTCCTCGAATTGTCTGGACGCACGCCTCAGTGTTTGAACTCGCTCTCGGAGGGTGCTGACGCCGGAGATGAAAGTCTGCGAGCTGGCGTGCACGATCTCGTCCAGCGCCTGGTCTCCCGAGGTGTTGCTCCCGCCGCTGATGAAGCGCTCCAGCATGCTGGCCCTGGAGTTCAACAGCTGATCTTCGATGTCAACGCCTGGCGGAGCCTGGTGCGAAGCCCCTGGCCCGCTCCCTCCCGATACGACCCTTGGCCTGCTCCAGCCCGGGGCCTGCAGCAGCGTGTCCGAGACCGTGCTCAGCCTCTCCATCGGGACGTCGACGGACCGACCGAGAGAGGAGGAGGACGCCTGCGGTGACGCGCCAGCCTCGGGAGATGCCGACGCCCTCCGGACAGGCCAGCTCTGCGAAACGACCCCGTCGTGGTCCGCGCCCCCCGCCTCGTCCCCGCTGGTCGCGCTGCCGCTGTGGACCGTGGCCGCGGTCAGGCGCGGGCTCGCGAACGAGGACTTGGAGGAGTTGAGGGACCGCCTCGACGGCCTGTCGGCCTCGGCCCCAGGCGCACGCCCCTCCGTGACTCCAGCACCACTGCGCGCCTCCGCCAGCCCTCTGAGACGCCGCACCTGGGGCCTGCGCAGCCGGCCGCCGACTGGCATCGACTGGGCACCCGCGGAGGAGCTGAACCGCCCCAGAGGCATGGACATCACGGCCTCCCCGTCCTGGTCCTCCCTGATGCCCGCGCGGCCGCCCACGCGCGCCGAACTGCTGCCAGACACCGCGTTGCTCGCGGCCCGCCCGGAGGGCACGCCGAGAGACGGCAGGAGCGGCGCTGCCCTCCTGCTGCGGGAGGTCCGCGCCTCGCCGCAGAAGTCCACGTCCGCGACGTCGAAGCAGGGCGCCCGCGGACCTCTCGCGGATGCCGAGGCCAGAGGCGCAAGCTGGGGCTGGCCGTCGTCGCTCTCGGCGGGCCGCTTCCTGCCCAGCATGGCGTCCATGACGGACCTGCGCCGCTCGGCCTCGACACCGGCCGACCTCCGCTCGACAGCATGCCCCTGCGCCCGCTCGGCGGCCCCAGACCCCCGACGTCGCGACCTCTGTCGCAGCGTCGACCCCCAGAGGCCTGGAGCCCTTCCCTGGGACCGGTCTTTCGTCGTCCTGAATATTGAATCGGGCCTGCCCCTCTACAGGAGGACCATTGAAAAATAGTTTAAAAAAATACGGGGACGATTTTTGTTGATCATAGTTTGCTTTTTGTTGGGTGTCCTTTTTGACTGTTGCTTATTTTTCGTTCAGAATCCGCATGTAGGGGGACACGCCCGACTCAGCCTGAATCGTTTCTCGACGGTCCCGGGTCCCGGCGAGGGCCACTCGCGAAAAGCCCCCCGTCGTGAATTTCTGTCGCAACGCGAGGGGGTCTGGGGCGGAGCCGAGGGCCTTCCACTCGTCGCCGGCCCTGCCCGCGAGCGGCCGCTGGAACGTGCCCGGCCCCGGGTCCGTCATGCGCCCCGAGGGGTCCCAGGCGCAGGCCGCTGCGCCCGCGCGGCCGACGGCCGCGGGCCCGCGAGGCTCGCCGTCGCTGCCGGGCGCGCCCCTGCCGAGGCCCAGGGTGCCCGCAGGTCTCCGAGGCGTCGCCATCCCTGGAAAGACCGGGCGGCGGCGGCTGGCCTTGAGATCCTGACGAGGAGGCTGAGGAGTCGGGCTTTGGAGATATGTTGCTGTGAGAGGTTCGCGAATGACGATATTGAGCCATCTCAGGGGCTCCCTTGGGGTCCCCGTTTGGGGCCTCTTGGGGCCCTCTTGGGGCTCGTTTCTGGGGTCTTTTGGGAGCCCTCTTGGGGCTCATTGGAAGGTCTGGGAGGCCTCTTGGCCCTCGTGGCTCAAAAAAATGGCTGGGGTCAAGTGTCCCCCTTCGGAGACTCAAACATGGCGTCTCGGGTAACCCTGAGATCCTGGCGACTCAATTTTTGTCGAGCTGGGCGTTTTCGCCTCTTTTCGGGCCCAGGGACCCTCACAAATCGATCCGGCTCGAAAAAGGACGCAGGAAGATGCGGTCTAGGGTTCCGGGCGTGGTTTTCTCGATGTTGCATTTTTTTCGCTACGTCGGATCTCAAGGGGGGAACGGAGAGGGGGGTGGGGAGCACGCCAGGAACGGCTGCAAGCCGCCACGGCCTCGAGCACACGGCATGTCTGAGACGGTGTGGAACGTTCAGCTGTCTTGACAACATAAGGGAACGCGCTCGAATAGTCCTGCAAGGTCGTCTCTCAAATCCGCCGACCTTGTCGGCGTGTGCGAGGGGTTCGTCTATTCGAGTCGTCGTCTCCGTCAGTCGTCGTCTGCGTCGTCCCCTTTCCCTGCACCCTCCTCAAGCCTGCCAGCGAGAAAAAAACCTAGCAATGTCGTAATGAATCGAATCAAAGGGAAGCCCCTTCCCTTTGATCCCTCCCCCGTCGGGAGGGGGGGCCCCCGGGGTCCGGGGCTGCAAACAGTACCAAAACAAGCCAAGAGTGCCCCAAGAGGCCCCCGAGACGGTCCAAGAGGGCCCCCAATCGCCAAACGATCGGTCCAAAACGCCTTCACGCTCCCAGACTGCCCAGGAGACCTCCAAGGCGCCCCAAGAGGCCTCCAAATGCACTCCCGAGAGGGCCCCAAGAGGCAAAAAAATGATGTCCCCAGGTTTTTGGACGGATTTGCGCGTTCTCACCTTTTCCGCTTCCCGCCGCTCCAAGACGGTCGAAGAGACCCTCGAGATCGCCCCAAGACGGCCCAAGAGGCTTCCAAGA